TGTACATACTAGAAGCTTTCCTAATAAATAGAAAGGGAAATCTCATTCAGGATAACAGTTTGGTGAATAAAAGAAATTTGGAGAGCAATCTAACAAAGCATACAAAATATTTAAATAGATTCAATTACAAAATGTTCCTTGCAGAAATAAAGAATAGCTTAAATGGCTGGATGAATATTAAATTCTCATGGCTGTGCCAAAATAGCAAAAGTGATAATACTACCAAAGTTAATTTACTATTTTATTGCTATACCAATCAGACTATCAGAGGGGGAGGATACTTTATGGAACTCAGTAAAACAAAAACAGAATTTATTTGAATAAATAAAAATCAAAAATATCAAAAGAAATTATGGGAAAAGAAGAAAATACTTCTAGACCTCAAAATATATTATAAAGCAACATCTATCAAAACCATATGAAATTGTTTTAAAAGTGAAAGAGACTATATAAGGGAGAATTAGAAACAGTGGAACTCAACCCAGTATTCCATAAACCTTAAAAGATAAATTACTTTGGAAAAAATCCCTACTTGATATGAACTACTGGGAAACTCGAAAGCAGACTGGCAGAAATTAGGCTTAAACCAACATCTTACATGATATTCCACAATAAATTCAAAATGGATACGTGAGCTTAATATTAAAGACCATACAATAAATAAATTAGAAGAGAAGCATATAAAATACTTTTCATCACCATGAGTAGGTTATTTTAACCAAACAAAAGATAGAGGCAATTACAAAAGATAAAATAGGAAATTTTTATTTCATGAAACCGAAAAACTTATGCAGAAACAAATTAATGCATCTAGGATAAGAAGAGTCAATCAGATGGGGGGGAAATTTTCCATTCATGTAAAATTTCTCTGATAATGGTTTGGTTTCTAAGATATATAAACAACTAAAAACAATCTATATCTGTATGACCAAAAGCCATTTCCTAATAGGTAAATGGTCAAAGGATATGAACAAACAGTACTCAGAAGATTCGCAAACTATTAGCAACAATATAAAAGAATATTCCAAATCACTCATAGCAAAAAACCCACAAAATAAAATAACCCTGAGATTTTACCTCACATCCAGAAAATTGGCAAAGATGATAAAGATGGGAATAGTCTGTATTGGAGGAGTTGTGGGAAGATAGGTTCATTAGGCCATTGTTGATTGAACTATGAAAAGTACATCCATTTTGGAAAGCAGTTCAGAATTATGCAGAAATTGGCCAAAATATCTATACCTTTTATCCGAGAGATTCCACCTCTAGGCATATATCTCAAGGAAGTAATTTGTTATGAGAAAAAAAAAGTCCACCTGTGCTTTTTTAAAAAAATTTTTTGTTCTGAATTCTCTCCCTCACTCCAGCTCCTCCCCCACCCACTGAGAAGGCAGGAAATACAATACCCATTGTATGTATTCATGCAAAACATTGCCACATTGGCCTTGTTGTGGGGGTGGGAAGAGAGCAAGAAAAGTAAAGTGAAAAAAAATATTTCAATCTGCACTCAGAGTTCATCAGTTCTCTCTCTGGAAGTAGATAGCATTTTTATCATGAATCCTTTCAAGTTGTCGTAGATCACCATATCAATCAGAGTAGCTTAAGTCCTTTAAAGTGGATTGTTGTTACAATATTGCTATTACTGTATACAATGTTCTTCTACTTCTCATTTCACTTTACATCAGCCCATGTAATTCTTCAGGTTTTTCTGAAACCATCCCTTTCATCATTTCTTATAGTGCATAGTACTCCATCACAATCATATGCCACAACTTGTTCAGCCATTCTCCAACTAAAAGGCATCCCTTCGGTTTCCAATTCTTTGCCCCACAAAAAGAGCTACTATAAACATTTTTGCACATATGGGTCCTTTCCCTTTTTCTTTTATCTCTTTGAGATATATAGCCTTCATAGCAGTATTGCTGAGTCAGAGTGTATGCATGGTTTTATAGGCCTTTGGACATAGTTCCGATTCTTCTCCAGAATGGTTGTACTAGTTCACAGCTTCATTAATGCGTTAGTGTACATATTTTTAAGTGTCTCTCTAGTATTTGTTCCCCCATATGCTTTCTTTTTTTAATTAATTTTTAATTTTCAACATTTGCTTTTATAAGATTTTGAGTTCTAAATTTACCCCCTTCACCATCCTCCCCTCCCCAAGATGACATGCAATCCAATGTAGACTATACATGTTTAATATGATCATATATTAAATATATTTCCACATTAATCATGTTGCGAAAGAAGAAAGGGAAAAACCATGAGAAAGAAAAAAAAACAACAACAGAAAAGAAATAGTTTGCTTTGAGCTACATTCAGACTCCATAGTTCTTTCTCTGGATGTGGATAGCATTTTCCATCATGAGTCTTTTGGAGTTGTCTTAGATCATTGCATTTCTCAGAAGCGCTAAATCTAACAAAGCCAGTCATGGCACAATGTTGCTGTTTCTGTGTACACTGTTCTCCTGGTTCTGCTCACTTCACTCAGCATCAGTTCTTGCAAGTCCTCCATATACTTTCTATGAAAATATTCGTACTATCACTTTTCATAGTAGCCAAGAATAGGAAGCAAAATGGATGCCCATCAATTGGAGAATAACTGAACAAATTGTGGCACATGAATGTAATGGAATATTACTGTGAGACAAGAAAGGATGAATATGATGAATACAGAGAAGCACAGAAATATCTACATGAAATGATGCATAGTAAAGGAAACCAAGCCAATAAAACAATATACACAACTATAACAATGCAGATGGAAATAACAACTGCCACAACATAATCAAAAATAAATATTGCAAAATTATAAAGAAAAAGCATGGCCCTAAAGAGGCAGAAGGACTGTTTCCTGGGGCAGGAGATTATGAATGTGGAACATGGCATAAATTTTTAGATTGTTTGATTAATTTATTGGTTTCACTGATTTTTCCTCTTTATTTTTAAAAATCTTTGTGAAAAAGACCCCACGCACAAAAATATTTATAGCAGCTCCTTTTGTGGTGGCCAAGAATTGGAAATTGAGAGGATGCCCATCAGTTGGGAAATGGCTGACCAAGTTGTAGTATATGAATGTAACAGAATACTATTATGCTATAAGAAATGATGAGCAGGCAGACTTCAAAAAGCATGGAAAGACTTGTATGGACTGATGCTGAGTGAAGTGAGCAGAACCAGGAGAACGTTGTACATAGTAACAGTCACGTTGCACGATGACTAACTTTGATAGACTTAGCCCTTCTCAGCATTGCAAGGATCTGAGACATCTCCAAAAATGTCATGATGGAAAATGCTATCCACATCCAAAGAAAAAACTGTGGAGTTTGAATGCAGATTGAAGCATAGTATTTGCCTTTTTTTCCCCTTTTGTTTTGTTTCCTCTTTCTTGTGGTTCCTCCTATTGGTTCTAATTCTTCCTTACAACATGACTAATGTGAAAATATGTTTAATAGGAATGTGTATGTAAAGCCTATTATCAGATTGCATGCTGTCTTGGGGAAGGAAGGGGGAAAAGGAGGAAAAAAATTTTAAACTCAAAAGCTTATGGAAGTGATTGTTGATAAATCAAAATAAATTAGTAAAAAAAATTTAAATAAATAAATCTTTGTTATGGAGCATGGGGAGGAATGGAGACTATATAGATGTAGGGAAGAAGAGTTGAGATGGGATTGAAAGTATAATTTCTTAGGACTACATGAAGCAAGATCCTCTGCTGAGTGGTAGGTGGAAAAGCATGGTGTGGAAGTCTTGAACAAAGAAGATAAGTTTAACCCATCAGCTCTGTGGAATAAAATAGTCAATAGGAAAGAATAAAAGGATTACCTGGAGGCAGTCAGATAGCTAAGATTAGATAATACAAATATGTAGTAGACCTACTCAGCACAGTTGTGTGGCTTCCTCCAGCATACTTCAAACATACAGAGAATAGGAAGGGAACAGATGGATTTTAAGGACAAAGCAAAGTTGGAGTTTGGTAGGACAAGGGGGCAAGGGATTTGAGAATAGAGGACAGTATAAAATTGAGCTGGTTAACGATGGCTACAAAACTGGGAAAGGAAGAGAGTGAGGCCAAACTAGGAGCGATGTCCTAGAAAAGCACCAAAGGATGAAAATCTTGGGTAGGGAAAAAATTTGGTTTAGGAGTAGTAAACTATAGAGAGATTTTGAGTGATAGGAAGTATCAAATGATCAAACAGAGTAATTTCAAAATTTTTTTTATCATGGAAACAGAACATTTATGGGGGATGGTATAATCACATATGTGATAATTCCTATGTGTACATAGCTGAGACATACTGAAATTTTAGGTCATAAAAGTTGACCAACTGGAAGACCAGGCTTTTTGGAGGAGCAACAACATATATATTGAAATCTCCTCATATAAGGACAGAGGTTAGTATGGAGAGGATGATGGTAAGCCAGATGATGAAACCTTTGAAAAAGAATGGCCTTATAGGCAAAACATAAATGCTGTAAGAATCTGGATAGAGTAATACATTTGAATAAAGTGAACCTCAAAGGAGAAGAGTTTAGACTTAATTCAGTAGGTAAGATCCATTAAGTAAGGGAGCCAGATATAGCATTATACAGAATGCATTGGAAGAAAGTAAGACTATGGAAAGAAATAACAACTTGCAGACAACTGTAGTAATCCAGAGTTGAAATGATGCTGTGTATTGACAGTGTGAATAAAGATAAAGGAACAAGAGACACTGCAAAAAACAAATTGTCAAGATGTGGGGACCGTTTGGATCAAAACCACTGAAGTGATATCTTTGATTTTGTCACTGTGAAACTTGAGAAGTAAAGGACAAAGAAGAATTACAAGTTGCTTTAGCTCACTTAATTATTTCTCACTTGTTTTTCATTTTTGTTTTATTCCAGGTTACCCACTCACTCATGGAAAAATGGATCATTCCAACTCTTGGAGACCTCAGCTCTCACAGCATTTAGACCTTACTTTAAGTCATCTATCTTCCATTTCAACATCATAAAACTTGCTAAAGAAACTGAAACTTTTTTTGTTTAAAAAAACCCCAAACTTCAAAATGGCTTTGTGAATTATAATGATGTAGCTGTCTTGTCCAAGAAGGTTGAAACAAACAATAGATGCTATGCCCAGGACTAGTGTCTTCTGCAGTGTGACTTTTCATTCAAACTCATGTGTGCACTAGCTACTGTTATCTTGGCAATATATCTCAGTGTCAAGTTTTGTTTCCTTTTGCAGAAAAAAAACCACTGCCCAATATTAGTAAGTTATTACTAAAATCTGAATGTCAAATGTGCGCAGCCTAGGTGAAGAAACTAGGAAATCTAAGTTGAACCAGAACCTTGTTGTGAATTCAGAACTCCACTAAGTGGATTTTATGTTATGGCAGCAGCTTACAGACTTGTGGTTAGCACTGTGAACTATTACAACAGTGTTGTCATAGATCAGCGCTTTCAGCAGGCTATACATTATTGCACTGGAACTTGCCAGACCTTCAGACATGGAGTTGACTGTATTGTGGTACATCATAGTGTTTGTGCAGAGCTCCTGCATATCCCAGTCTCTGGTGTCAAAAATGCAGCACATGCTCCTATATTTCCTGATGAAAATGTTCTTTCCTTGGCTGAGAGCGAAGAAAACCATCAAATCCTCCCTGGTATACCTAAGGTCAAGAAAGTATCTGTGGTGCAAAGCACTTACAACCTGAAAGACATTGCAGGAGAAGCAATCAATTTTGCCAGTGGAAAAATTAAGGAATTTTCCCTTGAAAAACTCAAGAACTCTAGCCATGTGACTTACAGAAAGGGAAGAAAAGTTAAGAGTGACTCATTTAATAGGCGGTCAGTTGATTTTGACCTGATCTTTGGTCATTATGGCAGTGATGGAAACTATCCATCCTTTGGTTTACTCCGGAGTTCCTCACTTGAGGAAAAACCTATGCCCCATAGTAATTCACTTGAAACAAACATGGCTTCATTGTTTCTCCAAAATTTGTCTGAAGAGAATCTGATTACCCAGATATTGGAAAAACATAAGTTGGATAGCCCTTCTTCTGGGACAGATATAAAGATGTGCTTGGATATCTTGCTCAAGTGCTCTGAGGACTTGAAAAAATGCACTGACATCATAAAGCAATGCATAAAGAAGAAATCAGGGAGCAATATCAGTGATGGAAGTGGTCATGATTCATTTTCAAGCTCTGAAACTATCTATATGAATGTAATGGCCAGGTTGGCTTCCTATCTAAAGAAGATACCATTTGAATTCTTGCATCCTGGACATACTGAGAATACAGACTTGACAGAATTTATTAGTAATTTGCCAAACTTACATCCAGCCCCCTTCTCCCCAATATTTGGCACTGAACAGCCCCCTAAATATGAGGATGTTGTCCAGTTAGCACCAGATACAGGGCAGTTCCATTCAGTTGAATTTCAAGAAAACAAACATGATGGTATTAAAACTGGAACAATTAAGTCTCTTCAGACTAACCACACAAATTCAAATTCCTTACAAAGTTTAGAGCTAAATGACCCCAGAACTGTGGAAGCTATCCAACTTAAACCACAGACTTTAACTATGAATCCTCTAGAAGGTGTTTCTTCTACTGACTTTATGGAAACTCTTTATATTGAGGAAGAGTCAGATGGGAGAAAAGTGTTTGATAAGGAAAAAAGAACTGAGAACAGCTTTAATCAGGAATCTTTAGAAATCAACGAAGCTAAATCAGAATTTATAGACCATAATAACAGTCTTGAAAAATCTCCTACCTTAGTACAAGCTGAAAATCTTGGCAAGGTCTTTGAAAAAACAGCATTTGCTTTATCAAAGGAGGACCCTACACCCAAAGTCACTGAAGTTGAAGAGAGAGACCACATAGGTATTATGAAACCTAGTAATCAGGAAGAGATAGACAAGTTATTATTGGACTTGGAGTGTTTCTCACAGAGAATGGAGAACACACTGGGGGAGCCTCTTGCCAAGAGTTGTGACACTAAATCTTTAAACAACTGTAATCCTTTGGTGGGGCAGACAACTTTGGATCTTGAGCCCAAATCTGATGACTCTTCACCCTTAGAAAAATCTCCTTCTTCTTGTTTGACAAGAATTATTGAAACTAATGGACATAAAATAGAGGAAGAGGATCGTGCTCTCTTGTTGCGTATCCTAGAAAGCATTGAAGACTTTGCTCAAGAACTAGTTGAATGCAAATCAAGCAGAGGAAGCTTATCACAAGAAAAGGAAATGATGCAAATTTTGCAGGAAACTTTGACAACTTCCTCCCAGACTCGATCATCAGTATGTCAAAGTCATACAAGTGATAAAACCAAAGATAGTACTGCAGTGGTTTTGATTCAGCAGAGCCCCGAGGTAATTAAGGTAAGACCAACAATCTCATCTCTTAAAGCTTCACCAAAGAAATACTTGTAAAATAAACACACATGAAAAAATGCCTTGGTTGACTGTATTAGTGTTGTTTCTACTCTGTCTTAGAGTAGTAATAGTCTCACTGACTTCAACCAGTCAACCAAGTGTTGGTGTGCGTTTTCCAATACTGTGCAAGGCTCTCCAAATGATACAAAAAAACCCCATAAGACATAGTGCCTACCTTTGAGGAATTCATAATATAGGTAAAGCTAACATGCACAGAACAATTAGAGAACAATGTATTGTGGTCCTGACTTTTAGGAAGTGCCATTTAAATAAGTGTCTGATTAATCCCTGAAAATGGGAAATAGGTCATTTCTTATGAGAGAAGAGAAGGATGACAGCAAGTATGTCTCACCATAAAAAAATTGTAGTCTTACCGTTCTTTATATTGTTAACACTTGAAATATTTAGTACTAGTTACCAAGCATATGCCTAACCTAGCCTACCATCACTACTTTGGGAAATTGTGGGAAAAGAAATGGAAAGGGAACATCTTCATCTTTAACATATATTAAGAATATCTTTTCACTCCACTAGTGGTGGAAGTGAAGGAAGTATTGCTCTAATTTTCTTTTGGCAGCTTTTGAACAGTTTATGTTAAGTAAAGGCACAGTATTAGGATGCTCCTTCTACCTTCCTCTTCTGTATGACTTTTTTTCTCCCCTTCTTTCTCCTTTTCCTTCCCATTTCTTTTTTTTCCCCTATTTTCCCTTCCTCCTCAAAATCTAAAGTAACAAATGAGTGGGACACTGGGTTCCTAGCTTTTTTTTGTCCAAGGACTCCTTTGGCAGTCTGGTGGAGTTAATTATAATAATGTTTTTAAATGCATAAAATAAAATACATAGGTTTATAAACCAATTATATTAAAATATGGTTCTCAATTAAAAAAAAAAACAAATTCATGGTTCCTTGTAGTAGACTCCCAAGAGCCCCAAATCAACTACCTGCACTGCAGAGATCTAAACTATTCTAGTGAGTCAGGGTTAGCGTGGGTAGTAAAACTGCAGATTTTTAGAGCTAAAAATGATCTTTGTTGTTGTTGTTCAGTTGTTTCATTCATGTCCAACTCTTTGTGATCCCATTTGGGGTTTGCTTAGCAAAGATACTAGAGTGGTTTGCCATTTCCTTCTCCCACTCATTTGACAGATGAAGAAACTGAGGTAAACAGGGTTAAGTGACTTGCCCAGGGTCACACAGTAAGTATCTGAGGCTGGATTTGAACTCAGGTCTTCCTCACTCCACCTACCTGCCCAAAAATAACCTTAGAAGTTATTTATTCTAACCTCTTCATTTTATAAATGAAGAAAATTGGCAAGGGAATGTAGTTAATGATAGAACCACTACTCTGACTAGGGTCTTTTATTTCTAGTCCAGGCTTCTTTTCATGGTGCCATGTTACCACCTTTCTTGTCTCTTACTGTTTCCTACCTTAAGTCTTACAGCTTGTTATACCCACCTCAGAGTGTGTCTTTTTTGAGCCATGAGAAAGTGGGAAAACATTAGGTGTTAGGGATACAATTTCAAAGAAGAAATGAAAGAAAATATGTTCTGAAGTAAAATTTAGAATTCAAGGATTTTTTTTACAGGAAGATTACTGTCATCATTCAAAGCATTGTCATTAATTGTAAACTTATTTCTTATGAAAAACTTGTTTCGTTTAGTAAGTCATGAGGGAAATGCAACATTAAGTGCCATATTTTTAAAAGATGAAATGTCTAATGCCATGACTCAAGGCTAAGAGTTATTCATAAGATATACAAAGCTGAAAAGTTGGCCACCATTAATAGTGTGTAATATGTATTATTAAGAATTCTTGCCCAGGGGTGACTAGTCTTTTTAAACCAGATAATAAGTGAATGTCAGATGTGTATTATGAAAGAGAAGAAGATGGTAAATAATCTAAGAAGGTCGAGAGGATATGAGAACCTAGATGTTATTTCTATGATCAGAAGAACAGTTTTGATAAGGTATAGTAACATAGTCTCTTGTTTAAAGGACTTTGTAGTTCTCTGGAACGTCACTACAAATGTAACATATGAAAAGTGTGAAACATCAAAGTGTCAGGTAGCAAAAGAAACACTTAGTTTTTCCTTCCGCTGCCCAAATGATCCCTTGCCTTATTATTCTGATCTACCAGATCCACTTTCTTCATACCTTTGGTCTGATATCCTCCATTTCTAATTCAGTAATAAAACTTTGAAACTAAAGGGAAACTTAGATGTTTTCACATTATTGTCAACTCCTAGAATTTATTTGACACCTAAAACCTAGTCTCTTTTCCGTGTAACTACCAGCAGATATTTGAAGGCAGCAGTCCTCTTTCCACTAAATCTTTTTTTTCTAGACTAAACATCCTAAATTCTTTACACCATTTCTCATGACAGAGCCAGCAATACTTACCACATACCTCCTTGAAACCCACTTTCTCTCTAAAGTCTTCCCTACTTATATAAGCAGGTACTTGAAGTTCCCTCTCCTCTCATTTTAAGAAATAAACATTGATAGGGAAATGTATGATGTACAATGAAGAGGAACTTCTCCAGATAGACGTTAGTTTTTTCAATGTTGTTCCAAAAATATGATACACAAACCTAAGCCAAATACTTTAGATGTGATCTAATAAAGTAAAGTGAAACTTCACCATTTGTTTCTTCTTGATGAGAGAAAATAGAAACAAAATAGGAGTTGTTTTTGTTTTCTTACTGTCATCTATTGTAGTTATTTAAGTGACCTCTTCTCTTGATTTCCAGAACAGTGAACCTGCCCTCTCCTTATTCTTTTTCTTGTGCCCAAAATAGCTTCTTTTTTTTAAAGTATTTTATTTTTCCTCAAATTATTCAGAACTTTAAGCTTCCTGATTTCCTAAAGGATCCTGCTACTCTTTTGGTTTAGCCTCATACTATACATATATGCATGCATGTGTGTTTATGTGTGTATGTATTTATGTGCATGTATCTTCCATCTTTCTTACGTTTTCTTTTTAAACTTGAATTTAAATGAATTCTATTTTGTTCTCTTTAGACATTCCTTTGTTTAGTCTAATCACTAATTCTTTTCCAAAATACAAGCCTGAGTTACCCCCACCATAAGCTTTCACTCCTAAGCACATGCTGCTAAATTCCAGTCAATTCAGTTACATAACTGTGCCAATTAGATCTCTCCATAAAATTTATCCTATTTCAACTGAGCCCTCAGGCTACATGGCAGTCATTTTATTATTGCCTAAATGACTATCATATTCCCTACAACAACTGTTTGAAACCTCCCATTATCTCCTCAAGACTCCAACACCATCTCGTTTCTCCTTCCTTGAAGCAAAGGATGCCTAGTTGCCAAGGAAAGTAAAGGCCATCCATCCCTGGGCTTCCAGTTCCACCTTATTCTGCGCTTCAAAACTCCTCTACATCATCCCCCTTTCTCTTCTCCTTTGTTCTCCTTCAGAGAGGTGATTCTACCTCCTGTTTGGTCTCCCTGCTTTCTCATCTTTCCCCTTTATAATCTATCTTTCACACAACTGCCAAAATAATCACCTTAAAGCACACTTCTGACCTTGTAACTCTAGTGCTTAGGTATAGTCTGTGATTCCTTACTGGTGCCTTTAGGGCCAAATACAAATTTCTCTTCTTGGAATTTAAAGTTATTCCTGATTCCTAGCTGCCTTTCCAAACTTGTTTTATATTACATCTCTCTCTCTCTCTCTCTCCTCTCTCTCTCTCTCTCTCTCTCTCTCTCTCTCTCTCTCTCTTCTCTCTCTCTCTCTCTCTCTCTCTCTCTCTCTCTCTCTCTCTCTCTCTCTCTCTCTCTCCTCTCTCTCTCTCTCTCTCTCTATGTACTAGGCACTGTGCTAAATAAGCCTAGGAATACAAAGATGAAAAGTCTGTGCCCTCAAAGAGCTCACATTCTAAGGGGGGAGAAAACATGCAACTATGTACATACACAAAGTATACAGAATGAATTGGAGTTAATCTCAGAAGATGCTAGCATTGAAGAGGACTAGGAAAGGCTTCTTGCAGAAGGCAGGATTTTAGCTTAGACTTGAAGGAAACCAGAGGTAAAGTTGAAGAGGGAGAGCATTCGTGGCATAGAGAGCAGCCATTGAAAAGGCAGGTAATTGGAATGTGGAGTAATTGGAATGTGGAGTATCTCATTCAAGGAATGGTAAGGAAGCCAGTTTCACTAGATCCCATAGTACATGTAGGGGAGTAAAGTAGAAGGAGACTAGAAAGGTAAAAAGGGGCTAGGTTATAAAAATCTTTAAAAGACAAACAAAGGCTTTATATTTTATTCTGTTTTTGTTTTTTACTAGGCAACGGGGCTAAGTGATTTATATTTTATTCTGGAGGTAGTAAAGAGCCACAAGAATGTCTTGAGTAGAGGATTGACATGGTCAAACCTTTGTTTTGTAAGAAGATAACTTTGACATCTTAGTAAAAGGTGGAATGTAGTGGGAAGAGACTTGAGATAGGGAAACTACCTAAAAGGCTATTACAATAGATGTTGAAAGGTAAAATCAAAAGGACTTGGTGACAGATTAGAGATGGGAGATCAGAAAGAATAATGAGTTGAAGATGACCCCCAGGTTGTAAGCCTGGGTAACCAGGAGGATGGTGGTGCCTTTGACCATAATCGGAAAGTTAAGAAAGGGGAGGGGGCTTAAGGAGAAAGAGAACGCATTCTGTTTTAAACGTGTTAAGATGTCTACAGGACATCCAGGTTGAGACGTCTAATAGGTAGTTAGAGGTGTGAGACCAGAGGTCAGGAGAGAAGTTAGGTCTGGATAAGTAAATCAAGAGTCATTGGCTTAGATATGTAATTGAATCTTGGAAGCTGTTCAGATCCCTACATGAGACAGTTTAGAAGGAAAAGAGGAAAGGGTCCAAGACAATCATGTATAACCCTTGTGGTTAGCAAGCATGACCTGGAAGGTGATGATCCAGCAAAGTGGGATG